ACATACCTTGATATAATCTTAACATAAAGTATTTTTATATGTTCCCTCAGAATACAAAATATAAATATATAAACTTGTAGGCATTGATCTGAAATTTAAAATGTATTCATTTATAAAATTATAGGACATCAACAAAATAACTTTTAGAATAATTAGAAGAGTTCTAAAAGAACATAGATAGTTCCTCAATGAGAAGAAAAAAAGGTTGTCTCTTACAAAACTTTGTTGATAAGCTTTTTTTAGACCTCTCAAATATATTTGCATATAGATTTTATGCTTCTTTCAGTACTAAAATTCTAGAGCATTTATAATCATCGTTAGGTCTGTGGAGTCCTGATTTTTATAGTTGTGAAAATAACATCTCTGGAGATACCCTGTTAATCTATTTATTAACAGCTCTTTGAAAAGCACTGTTACATAATGCAGGTATCCTTTGTTCGCACTAGGGTGTAGCTGGACCAGAAGGCAATCCGGGTCCTAAAGGTGTCAGAGTAAGTAATCATTTTTATCGCTTTGTTAAGCATACTTGTGTAAAAGTAGAATGAAATATGCAAAATGTTTATATCAATTTCTCATTTTCTTAGGAGTTATGCTTTTTTAGGAACTTCTAATTTAAATACAAGTTTATCTTGAAAAGATAAAAGCATTTATTTTGTTTAATAGTTCTAGTCACTTTTGTAAGTGTCCCCACTGGTGCTGTGGGTTAGGCATTTGGCTGCTAACTGAAAGGTTGGTGATTCTAAACCACCAGTGACTCCATGGAACAGAGATAAGACTGTCTGCTCCTCTAGAGATTTACATCCTCAGAAACCATGTAAAGAGTCACCAGGAGTTAGAATCTACTCGATGGTAATGGGATTAGTTTGAGTTTCAATTTAATGCCTACTGGAGAAGGGGCCAAATCTAACCTTCCGCAGCTACACAAGGGAGTAGAATCCGATCCACATCTGTTCAATCATCATTCGTATGAGGCAGAGGTCAGACATGCCTCCACCCTCAAACGTTCTTTACCTTATTCTGACATTTGCCCTCTCTCCCATGGCACACTACTTCTTTGCTGGGTTCAGTCATCCCTCGCACTGGATGCACAGACAATGCTCATGACTATGGGGGCTATTAGGGAAGTTGACAGGTTACATTAAATCAGGAAAACCCTAAGGATACAGCCCTCTTGCTGCAGTGCCTCTTCTCCACCTCACCAGCAGACATGTCTCTGTGGTTGGGTCTGTCAGTCACTGCATTTACTTGGCTCTTGTCTGGTCCTGAAAGAAGGCAAAGCTGGTTTGAACTCACTGCCATCAGAGAAATGCTGACCCATAGTGACCCTGAATGGCGGGGTAGAACTGCCCTGTGTTTCTGAGACTACATGTAACTGTTTATGGGACTAGAAAGTCCCATCTTTGTGCAGCAGAATGGCTGGTGTTTCGAACCGCCCACAAGTGCTTCTAAAGCTGCTTTAAGACTGGTGAATGTGCAAAGATTACCTCGGTTTTGTAAGCCAGCCCCCTGCCTGAGGGCATTCAGTTACTTGTTCCCAGGGCTAGGAAGCCCACTGGTCTAGGCTCAGCTCCTCTGCTCTTGTCTCACGGTCCCAATGCTGTAGCTTCTGTTGTCTACACTGCTTCAGGCAAGGATCTTGCAGGTGTTCTGCTAGTGACTCTTCTTTCTTGATGATCCTGTGACTCCTGCTTGTGAGATGGCTCACTCTTACACCCAGCAGAATGGCAAAACTGACCAATCCCTGAATTGGACTTCTGCACTTATTTGTACGATCCCACCCTGTCATTTGGTTGGAGTTATAAAGACTCTACTTCCACCTGTAGATAGAAGAGCCATATCAAGTAGTTTCACTTTACCACATCTGCAAAAATAATTCTTACAGTATATATTCTGTATCATTCAATTTCTAGTCCTAGAATAATGTCTCATATGTTAGAAAATAAGCATATATAGAATGATTTAAATATGAATATGTAAAGACCTAAAAGGTGTGATGAAAAATATGAATACATTTACATTAAGATGTAATGTAGGGAGATAATTTTCTGATATGTAAACTATCAGGAGGAAAGAGACCCCTCCAAAGAAGGAAATAAGTATATTATATCAAGAACCTCTCAGGGAACTTCAAAATCATCAAAGGAAGTCAGCTACTTTTCCTCATTAAGGGACTAAGTAAAATTGCTATGGTATTTATGATGTGTAGTGTACTCCATGTTAAAATCAAAGATGGGTCCAGGAAAAATTAGGAAAAGTGAACTAAAATTTTTCAGAGCCTTTGTGCCTTAATTCATATAAAATGCAAAACCACCATCACTTTCAATTGAGTTGATGCTAAATCCTGATGATCTCGTGTGTCGTATAGAACTGTCTCCATAAGATTTTCAATGGCTGAAATTTAGCCTTTCAGCATCAGGACTTTCTTCTGAGGCATCTCTGGGTGGAGTCAACCTTCCAACCTTTCAATTAGCAGCCAAGCACATCTCTTGTCTAACATGCTTTTTAAACACAGGCAAAGAATTAATGCTCCCCCTCCCTCTTATCATGACCCCAGTTCTAACTTACAAATCCAGCTAGACTGGAGCATGTACACTGGTACAGATAAGAGCTCTGGACACATGGAATCCATGACAAAGAACCCCCCTCAGGAACAATCATGGTAGGGAGAAGGTGCGGGGCAAGGGGGAGAAAGGGGAAACTGATAACAATGGTCAAGGTATAACTCTCTGGACAAACAATAGAAGCACGGGTGAAAGGAGACAGCAGATGGTGTAAGATATGAAAATAATAATAATTGGGTTGGGGAGGGTTGGGGAGGGAAGGAAAAAAGAGAAGCTGATACCAAGGGCTCAATTAGCAAGAAAATGTTTTGAAAATGATAGTAGCAACATACATACAAATGTGCTAGATACAATTGATGTGGATTGTTATAAGAGTTGTAAGAGCCCCCAATAAAATTGTTTATATATAAAAATAATTTTAAAATATGCACTATATTGATTTCTTATATTTTGAAACATTCTTAAATATTTTCTTCTTTTATTCTGTATCAATTTTCTACAGTAGAACAGGTATATCATCCCTGTTTTACAAATGAGAAAATAGTAAACTAAGGAATTTAAGTGATGTGTCAAAGTAAAAGACAGCTTGAACTAGATCCATGCTCTTCTCAGTTTAGCTCTTTCCACGATCCCATGCTGTATGTACTCTCTCAGTGAATAAAATTATTACATTCAGGAGGCAAAAGAAATTTGTGGTCAAGAGCATGGGCTTCTTTTTTTTTCAAACCCATCTTTTACCAATTTTATAATTAGTTCAACCCCTCACTGCTCCATTTTCCTTAAGTAATTATAATAAAACTCACTTCTCAGTAGGTTGTTGTGGTAGTTGCATAATCTGTTGTCAATTTGAGAGTATTAAGAGTGAACGGGTGGAGGTTAGCCTGTCAATCAGATCACAGCTTGATGATCTTGTTTGGAGGTGCTAAGGCTCACTGAAGGTGGAACATATACTCACTCCCTGTAAGACATTCCTGTTGACAAGACACATGGAACTACCCTAGAGCTCTGGAGCTGAAGGAGCCATGCTGAGACCCCGGCCAGCACTGTGATGCTTCCACTGCCACTGGATCCACAAGACTTTCCACCCACTGGCCTGTGATCTTCCTGAATTTGGCATCATTGCATGTGTTGCATGAGTCTGAAGAGGAATTTATAGATGGATATCAGACATATGGGTTAATATCAGACTTATGGACTTGATCTGGACTAGGCTGGGATGTTTTCTTAATGTACAATTATTCTTTATATAAAGCTCCTTTCTATACACATATGAGTCTCTATGAATTTGTTTCTCTAGTCTACCCAGATTAGCACATTATGGTCCCTTGGGAATGGGGTACACTAGAAACAAAATCATAAAGCTGGACAGTGGCTGTTTGGCTAAAGTCTGCCTCATGGTAGTTTTTCTTCTTTGGCTAGCCAGAGGTCAGATATGCCCATGCAGTTTACAGCATGGTTTTCTGGAAAGAATATGGGAACTTAAAGCTTTGATTATATTGTTTGGTTGTAGTCTTTGGTTATTCCTATATGAAATGGCAAACATGAATGTGATTAGTGTATATTTTGAGCTCTGGGGTCAAAATTGCCCTTTGAGTCTGTCAGAGCTGCTTAGTGAAAATGGTTCATAGAAGGTCACAATGACTGAAAGCCTTGCTCTGGCTTGATGCTGTCAGAGGCCTAATCCCATACTTCGTATCAATGGAATAGTTTATATAAGGATTGAGATAAACTAGGGATTGGATTTGACTGTTTTACGAATTGAGATGAATATCTGATTCTACTTTGTTTTTACTGATTTCTTCTGCTTATTATTATTGATATAATGATTGAAAGAAATGATTATTGGAAAGTATGAAAATAGAGAGTTTGTAAGTCTTGCCTTCAGCCATTAATATCTGAATCTTTAAATGGGTTAGGACATTTCTGGAAAGAAGGCTCTGAAAAGATAAGTCCCACCCAGTGCTTTGGAATGCTCAGGACATTTGCATTCCATTGTTTAGGGGCTGTTGATAGATTGAAGAAAAAGGAGCTCTTTGGCTTTTTGAATCTTGAACTAGTGTTTTTGTCAGAAGCTGGAAAAAATCTGGAGCCCTGGAGAAACTCTGTGCACTAGGATGGAACTGTTAAAGGGAGCCTGTGGGCAGGTGATCACCGGCCTGTGATCTTCCTGCATTCGACATCAATGCATGTGTTCCATGAGTCTGAAGAGGAATTTATAGATTGGTATCAGACATACGGGCTAATATGAGAATTAAGGACTTGATCTGGACTGGGCTGGAATGTTTTCTTAATGTGCAACTACTCTTTATATAAAGATCTTTTCTATTACACGTATGAGTGTCTATGAATTTTGTTTCTGTAGTCTACCAAGACTAACATAGTTGTGGTAATTAAAGGAGACTAACATTCTTATGATACAGGTGAAGAATATTAAAAATATCACGAACTGTCAAAAGAACACGCAATTTCATCTTGCAAGAAGTATAACCACAACATTCCTTAAAACAAGGATTGCAAGATGTCATCTCAGCTACTGAGCAGCCAGTCCTAGAAAAGGTATCATGTTTGTAAAGTAAAAGGATAGTGAAAAAGAAGGCCCTTGATGAGATGGAATGACCCAGTGGCTGAAACAAGGAGCTTAAACATAACAACTATTGTGAGGATGGCACAGGACCTCTCAGTGTATGTCCTTATCAGTCAGAACTGGCTCGACAGCACTTAACAACAGCATTCTTAAAGCATGGTGTCTGCCTTATGGTATCTATCTATTGCTTGGATGCTATCTATAATGTTTTCTATGTCCAATTTTTTTTGTGGAAGTAGATGGGCAGGTCCTTCTTCCTAGTCTCTCTTAGTCTGAAAGCTTCAGTGAAACATCTCCACCATGGATGACATTACTAATGGTTGAAATATCGGTGGCAAACTTCCAG